CGGTTAGTATCATGGTTGCTAGGCTAGGAGTTTGCATGTGTTTTGGAATTTGTACGTGTTTTGGAGTTTGTACATGCTTTGTCTCTAGGGGCCACCGTATCTTATCGTCCTCTCTCTCACACACACAAACAGGTGTTTGGATTCCAGCTGGAGGACGAGGACATGGCTGCTTTAGGAAGCTTGCATGATGGAAGACATGTTACTTGGGATCCAACAAATGTGGAATAAGTGGGAAGATGGAGGGTATGTTTGTCCATGAACTGGTGATGGCTGAGTGAGGAATTGATTTGAATATGTTCTTGGTTAATTATTTTTCTTTCTGGCAGTTTTCCTGGAAATAGACTTGACTGTAATGTCAAAGTTTATTGAGCTACATCTTCAGATAATGTGTAGACAAACACACACGAAGGACAAAACCATTCCAAGTGCCTTACTTTATAGAAATGTTGATTTTTTTTGTGATATATATATATATATATATATATATATCTTGAATAAAATCTACAAATAATTTTTTTTCACATTCAAATTAAGGGGAGGGATCAAGTGGTTTCTAAGACGAGAGGACCTTGGTATCGTATCCATGGTTGCAGTATATAAAACAACTATGTAAACTCAAGGCTGTGACCTTTTATTAGTCCTCTTCTCTTATTCCGCAAATGAAATCTTTAGTTTACTTCACCTGTAAAATCTGTACGTGATTATCAAAATACCTTAAGCAACATGTATCATTTACAAGTAAGTCATGAGACAAAAGAAAAACAAAACGGCCCCAAAGCTTAACCAGGTTTGGGAGGCATGAAAGTCAGCTGTAACTGTAACTTTATATAACACAAGCTATCAGGGTTTAGCAAATAATTTGCTGGCTACACTGGCTCTGGTAACGTTCAACTTCACTAAACCTTATCATGTTATCACGTTAAATTCAATTTTGATATTTTACATAATTTAGTATGAGGTGGATTCTCATGTCCACCTTTATTCCTCAGCACAGCCTGAACACTCTCTTTATTACCGGTATTGTTAATCTGTGGATCTTTCACAGTGCATTTTTGTCCTATCTTCATCCCCTCATCCCAAACTAGTCGCTGTTCCCCCTGAGCTTGGTTCGGCAAGAGGTTTCTTCCTGTTAAAATGGAGTTTTTCCATCCCACTGTCACCAAGGTCCCTGCTCATAGGTCATCTGTTTTTTGTTTTTTTTTTGTTCTCCTGTTTTCTGTGTAGTCTTATATACCATACAAAACACAATGAAGCAACTGTTGCTGTGTGTTTATAATAATAATAATGTATGCTTTATTGATACCCATTTACTCAGTGAAGCAGTGGGCAGCCACCAATCTAGCGCCCAGGAAGGATATAGGGACGGTACCTTGCTCAGGGGTACCTCAGGGTTGTCGTTCAGTGAATTTGAACCCCCGACCACTCTACCCACTGAGCTATCCCAGTCTGTTGGTGCTATATAAATAAACTGAACAGAATTAAATTAAATTCAGGACATTCAAAGCTCTTCTTTGGATGTTGGCTACTTTTTGTCCATTTTCTGTCAAAGTGATCTCACACTACATCACTAATGTTGAAGTTCAGTCCAACCCATGATTGATAAGTGTGTTTGGTATCATTGTGATATTAAAAAAAAACCAAAAAAAACCCGAAGCTGCTGCCAATCAGATGCTTTCCAAATGGTGTTGCACTGTGGATCAAAATCTGACAGCATTTATCTGTACTCATAATTCCATCAATTTTGACATGGCTGAAATGAAGACCCAGGCATCACAGAGCCTCCACTGTGTTTTACAGATGGGTATACACATACAGTGTTGCACCTCTCTTCTGGCATCATCTGTACATGAGTATTTAAACCAAATATTTCAAATTTGGATGACTCAAGACCTGTCACCACTGATTTTCAGTCTAGTTCTTGTGTAATTTGGCATACCTCAGTCTTTTCTCCCCGTGTCCCTTCCTACTGAGACCATTTTTGATGAAGCTTTAATTAACATTAAGGCCAGATATCTCTCAGGTCTGTCTTTTTAAAAGACATGATGTTAATGATCTTCTTTTGTGCTTCACGTGTCCAGTATCCTCAAATTTCTTAAGGACACACTGCACACCATGCAAAAAGAACCCAAGCTTTCAACTAACAGTTCTTTGGGAGTCATGTTGCTAATGCAAAAATACTATTTTATGTTTGTCATACTGTTACCTTTAGTTTAATCTACAAAAAAATGCCAAAGAAAAGAAAACAAAATGTGTTTTTCTACCAGGCGGCTGGCAACAAAGAGCCTAAATGTTTAAAATTGGTTCTCTGCCAGGTTGGCTTACATGTAGTCACAACACAGTTTCATTTCTTGAAGCAGGCACGTTTTCAATGCTTGAATGATGATGTGGCCTCAGTGTGGCTCAAAAACCCCCAAAAACAAAACAATTCCTTTCAGGTACAAAGATCACATACAAGGACTGGACTGAAAATGATATGGGGAAAAAGAAGCAGACAACTTCCAAAGAACAAATCTCAAAGATCTTCAGAAAACACTGCTCAAGACCACAGTATACAGGTTGAACAGACATGGCTACCACGAGGAATCTGTGCTGAAGACCACACCTATGAGTCCACTCCCAGCATTCACATCTTGAAAAATACTGAACCATTTCACAAAATAAAACAATGACAAAATCATTGAGTTAGCAATATCATTTATTCTTTCTCCCTCAGCTTAGAATCACTGTTGTACATAAGTTACATTTTGTTTTCTCAATTTCACAGGTTCTTGTTTTCCTCTTCAAACTTCCAGTTTGACCTCCCTCTCATATCAAAAAAAGAAAAGAAAAAAAGCAGATTGTATTATACAAAAATGCAAACCAATTTTCACACAGTGAATTCTCTTACAAAGTCATAAAATGGCGTAATAATGGCTACATCCACATTGGAGGAAGATAATTCTAGACATTCCTTAATGGAGTATAATATACATATAAAAAAAATTTTTCTTGCTGAAATCAAACCTGTACCTTAATTTAAGAGATATTTTACACGGGAGTAATTATATAAAAAAGCCATTTGCGAATTTCCCCAGAAAGTCCGGGAATAAAATGTGAGCCTCAAACAGCAGTAACAGAGTTCAGTGGTCAAGGGTGGTAGAGGAGGGGTTTAACTGGTTATGCAAATATGGGGTATAGGCAGCGGTTCCACTCAGAAACAAAAAACACACCGAATATTGAAATTAACGTCTTTGCTATTCGCTGTATAAAACACCCCATATATCACGGTATGCCAGTTTTTGCAAAGCTAAAGTCATTTCGGCTCATTCAGACCTGCAGTGACCCGTTTGGCAGGATCAGCACTGTGGGAAATTTCATCAACTTCTGTTAGAAACAAAATACTGAATTAACACCATTAAATCTTTAGCCAATTACCGACCAACTCAGTTCCCTGTTGTTGTTTTGTTTTGTTTTTTTAAATTAAGCTGATGGCCCTATTTCTTGCGAATAGCTGTAAAAAACAAACAAACAAAAACAAAAAACTCCCCCCCCCCACCAAAAAACCCCCAAATAAAAATTAAAAAACACACACACACACACACACACACACACACACACACACACACACACACACACAAAAACAAAATGTGAATGTCACCAAGTGCTCATAAAGCTGCACACATCAGGTCAGGTGTTGACTAAGACTTCCATGTCAATAAATTCACTCAACTAATGCCAAGAAAAAAAAGAAAATCTACAAAAAGCCAAGTCAACATTCTTTAAAAACAAACAAACAAAAAAGCTAATCAAATCTTGACAGATTTAGATTATTGTATCATTGCATTTTTTGGGTGGTGGGACCAAGGTCTGAGTCCATCATGCCAATTCAGTGTTAATTAGCTCCTAAGAAAAAGAAAAAGAAAAAAAGAGCGCGCTAGATGAAGACTTGAGGCTAACCTTTCATCAAAGACTTCTTGCTAATTCTCTTGGGGGCAATGGTGGGCTAAACCCCAAAACTTTCCTAACACCTCAACTCTATCACTCGGTACAGCACAATGAAGGGGGAGAACAACAATAAACAACTTATCCAGGATACATCTACAATACAATCTAGCACACACACAAAACATTTCCATAAATTTTCCAAAAGTTATGAATTTTGTCTTCTTCGGAAGCATAGTCTAATCTTTGTTTGAACACAAAAGATTTAAGTGAACACACATCAATTCACACAGAAGTCCTTCGTCTGGGAAAGGATAAAGTCTGTGTTGGCAACCAGTGGACCGAAAACAAATTTAAAAAAAAAACAAAAAACAAAAACATTTTGCTGATTCTAAGTAGAGATCATTTAATATAAATGCTGAGCGAGTAGGATAAGAGGTGGCACGTTAATAGTGCTTTAGTATATTAATGTATGGATACATACTCATATGTATAAGTGAGCTGTGTACCTAAACAATAAATGTAGCAAGGAGCAGCCAGAGGCTTTAAGTGTGGTTGGAAAACTTTTTTAAAAAAAAGAAAGAAAGAAAGAAAATCCACAACTTTTGCTGTTGTGGTGCTGACAAACTGGAAAAGATACCATTGAACAGCCAAGATGAGGATGTTGCACAGCACAAAAACATTTGTGCCTTAAAATAATTGACTCATCCGGTGTCAACAATGTGCCAGTTTCTCAGTATTCCTCATGTGAAAGAAAAGGTTTTATGTTAAACTAAAACAACTCGACCCACAGAGTCTCCTCCATGCTTTAACCGTTCAAGAACAAGAACTCACCAGTTGTCAGCAGAGCAGTAAAACTTTTGCCAATCATGCTAACTGTTTACAAAAAGGCAACGAGCTCTCTATTGAGCATCAGCAGTAAACAATTTATATGATGGAGAAAGAGCAATAATGGTTCTAATGATGGTGATGATGACAGCAGGTTGTGAACAAAAAAAAAAAAAAAAAAAAAAAAAAAAATGTGACCAAGTGAGCTGTATATTGCACCAGTCAGCAAAGACACTCAAATACACTCAATGCAAGGTGAATGAATTTATTAATCTGATCGAAGCATAGCCGTTCCTGAAGGTTTCCAGCCACTCCTCAGTAAATAACACTGCTTTCTTCAGCTGTAAACATGATTTCAAATGTACTAATGCAGCCAAGAACGCTACAACAGCAACCTTTCTGGACTCACTGCCAACTATAGCCATTTCATGACGGAGAGGAGAGTGTGTCTTCAACTAAGCTGGATAAAACCTTCACAGGGTAAGCATCATCGCCCAAAATCGTAACAATGTAAAGCAAGAAAAAAGTAAGACAAAAATTTAACAAAACATACACAAGGGAAGGCAACTTCATAGAAGTTAGGAGAACAAATGACAAGATAATCCCAATGGGGAGGCCTTTTGTGTGGCCAGATGAGAATCTCTGAGGAGGGAAATCCCTTATTTGCCTTGATGTTTTAAGGTCAACTTCACAGTCATTCAAGTGACTCCTGATACAAAAAGGTGCACCATCTCCGTCTGGTAACCTGCATGCACAAGCTCACAACAATTTTGACTGAACTGAATGCAGCAGACAGTCAGGAGCATTGGTGAAAGGCAACCAAATCACATCAGGGTCACATAAAAAACAAAAAATAAAAATAATTCAAGAGAAGCACTTAGTAGGTTCCCTTATAGAAAACACGGAAAGCTCATTATCAAAGACTTAATGCAATCTTTAAAACAGAATGCTCCAATTAAATATATTATAAACTGCTTTCAAATATGAAACAGACACGTGTTCATAAAATGCAAAAATAAAAGTCATACTTCTCATGGCAGGTGCGGAAGTGCATGTGGTGTAACACTGCATTTTTAAAAACACCTGCATGCCCATTTTAGCTGAATCCAGGTGGAATATTGAAGTGCTTTTCCCTTCTCAGACATCCAGATCTGGGCAACCTCTTTTTTTTGTTTTTTTCTTACGATTTTGGGGGGTGAGTACCAAGAGTGACATTTCTGCCATCGTCAATCATAAACCAGATCGTACAGAATTTATTCAGAGTGTATGCGATGTTACAAGGTGCTCCTATTTACCTAACCGTTCAACTAACCCAACATTCTTCTCCAGGAGGATCAAATACTCTGCTATAATTTTACCGTTGAGGTTGAATATGCATATACTTTTTAAATAAAGTTGTAATGACACTGTCAACGTCACCACCATTTTCTCTTCCTGAATCTACTGTGAGCCTTGTTAATCTAAACCCAGTACAAAAAAACAAACAAACAAAAAAAAAAAAACAACACACACAAGAAATGTTATCATATGCCCTGGTTTCCAGGCAAGGAAAGTCATTAAAAAAAAAAAAAAAAAGCTCATTCACAGAACAAAAAGAAAGAAAATTCATCACGGCAGATACTGCTCATCTTCTAAATAGAATGGGTGTATGTGTGCCTGTGCATGCTTTTGAATGTGTGTAAATGTGTACTTCCTAAGAGCAGGAATGGACAACACCATTCTTCTGCATCTCTGAACCAGTGACACCTGGATCTGAACATAAGCTCAATGCAGATGCTTTATTCGTCAGTGACAGCATGGACCCGCCCACTGCACTTTCCGGCAGACCGCTGGAGCCATTTGACACCTCACTGTATGAAGAAAAGAGAAAACAGACAAAGCAGAACAAGACATGAATGGAAATAATATAAAATATTCATATTCAGGGGGACGCAGTATATTTAAGCATGTTCATACTCACGCAAGCGCCAAGGAGATTTCTTCCAGTGGAGTCTTATGCTCTGGCTGTCCATTCTCAGCAGGTTTCATCTTGTACTGCTGAACATCATGGACCACCTGGTTTTCCTGGTTTGGAAATGGATATAACCCCCAATAAAATATTTCATCACACACAGCTCGTAAAGATCTAGATGTCAATTTGCCAAAAACCCACCCATCAAGACATTTTAACCACATCCACACTAATCCCAAATTCTCTCAAAATCCATGGTTAAACTGTTACATCCCTCGTTAGTGTTCAACAACTCGCCACCACTCCTACCATAGCCATCTCACGGGTCCTTTTGCCGATCTCTTTCTCAACCTGGTGAAGCTCCAGGCTAAGCTGTTCACTGGAGACAGCTGTTGCATTTGCTCCCCCTGATGGCCACTTGGGTTGTTGCTGTTGTGAGGCTACTGCTGCCTGGCCCTGGCCAGGGTGAGTAGCCAATGCACTGGCCTCCCTCTGCAGGAGTAAAGAATTACTGGCAGCCTGTAGCAGAAAGACAGGAAGTAAGGAGTAGGAGGGTGAATGTGCAATCTGGAAGTCTTTAGCAATAGTCAGGAAAACAATGGTTTAAAATGGGACATTCATTTTATTCATTACACATATTTCAGTGTTGAATATATGTTGATAGTAACTAGACACCAGGTAAACAGTTTGTATTTCTCGCCACATCAATTTTTAATCTAAAAAGGAGAGTCGAGCCATAAACAGGTAATCAAGAAATCAATAATATTGAGCACCTCACACCTCTTGTGGTGTAAAAATTGATCAAAACGATATGGGTCTTTCTAGACATTTATAGTTAGTAACAGATTGTACAAACCTCCATGCTGTGCATCTGTGTCTGTTGGCTGATCTGCTGGTTCACCTGCTGTAGCTCAATCTTTAACTGCTCTCTGTCTGAGGCTGCCATGGGTAGACTACAACAGCAAAAAATAACTGCTTCACAATCTTTAACAAAGGCATTTCTGATATTTGGCAAATACACAATTCACATGATGATCTACTGACTATATTAAAAAAAACAAAAAAAAAAACACAACCTAGAGAATAACAAACAGATTAAACAAATATAGGACTTACCGCTCACTAAAATGTCCCTGAGAGGAGGAGGCATTCTGGTGGGTGGGGTATGAAGTTCCACCCCATCCTCCATGGCTTCCATATGTGTATTCTGCTGAAGGGAAAATGGTAAATTGTATAACAGAACTATGTTCTTAACAATTGCAATTATGAAACACTACAATTATGTGAAATGACTATGCTCTGAGTATTCCCGTGTGTTGAATACTACACTTGTTTGCAGCTCCAACAATGTGAATTTCCCATCTCTGGGACTAATAAAAGCTGTCTTATCTTATAATCCTGTGTGTGAGGGGACAAAAATAAATGAATAAACCTTCTTCAAAAACTACTTTGTGTATCACAATTGACAAAATCAGATTAGAAGTATGCTTGTACAGGTGATGCTTCCTATAAATATAGCCGGAACTGATTCTTCTTAAAAACAATTGCTTGATGTGCATTGTGACGTGAGCATGACAGCTTTCAAAGCACTTTATAAGAATTACTACAGAAGGGCTACAGAAGTGTTTCTAAATAAAATGCTGTTCAGTTTGCAACAGGCACGTTTTCTACAAACGGAAGAAGAATTCAGGACTGTTTCTACTCTTCATATGAGTGGGTGTCCTGCAAAAAAGCACAAAAAAACCCTCACACCAAGAGCACAATGAGCAATCTTGAAAGTAGTGAAAAAGTACCCAAAATGCAGCAAAATGACTTGCAGAAATATCTAGAACTTGATTTAAAAAAAGAAGAAAAGAAAAAGTGATTAAATGTAGAAATGGAAAGATCCTACTGCCTTAAAAAAAGCAAAAAAAACAAAAAACAGGATGTGCCACTTCTGATAAAACGTTCTACGAATAGATACTAAGCTACACCACCCTCGAAAATTAGTGTATTTCCATATGATGCATGGTGGAGGGAGTAGGGCTGGGCTATATCATACCGTTCATGGTAATACCGGTGTAATGTTGGGCAACGATAGGAAAATGAAATATCGCAATAGAATATGGGTAAAACGTGCATGCGCAGTGCCTTTGTTTACATACGGACATGGCAGCGACGCAGAATGAGAAGAGCGAAAGTGGATCGTTAAATGAAACGGATGAACCAGAATTGGTTTGTAAAAATGCTGCAACTTCAGTGGTGTGGAACTGGTCTGGCTTTCATCTGTCAGATACGCAACAAAGCACTAGTTTTGGTAGAGCATGCTAGCGGGCTGTCGTTATTACTGTGTTTTTTGGAAAATACGGCACACTTAAAATCAATCCTTTGATTTTTCTGAAAATCGGCAGTGCCCCTTATAATCCCGTGCGCCTTATGTATGAATTCTGGTTGTGTTTACTGACCTCGAAACGATTTTATGTGGTACACAGCGCTCAAAAATCTGTCAAATGTTTCAGTACGACTTTGCTAAGCTACGAAGCCGCACCGCTTGATGGATTGTCGGAGCATTACGGCTACCGTAGGCTGGAGCCTCGCCGAGTGATATGTACGGTGCTTCAACATAATATTATGGTATTGTGTGTGTATAACCTCTTTTTAAGTTTTGTGGATATTATACATGGTTATGCTGAGGATTTGTCAGCCAATTTCCACTGGAAATGCACTAATAAATTTGAGGAGTTGTAAAGTATTTTGTCTAGTGTCAATTATATCGTCAGATATATCGTTATCGCAAATTTTCAAATGTATATCATGATAAATATTTTTAGTCAAATCGCCCTGCTCTAGGAGGGAGTATTGATAGTTTGGCGTTTCTTTGCTGTCTAAGCGCCTGGTGACCAAAAGCACACAAGTAATTCAACAAAGATAATTTGCGCTATGGAATGGCCAAGTCAGCATCGTGACCTTAACCTACTTGAGTTGCTACATGCATGATAAACATACAGTGTTCATTGTATTTCTGATGAATGTTGCAGAAATATTGATTAACTGAAACAGTAATGAGGGAATAGTCCCAAATCACAGAAGCAGCTACAGGAAATGCTGTAGCTGCTAAAAGCTGTTGCACAAGGAGGTTCAATGAGTCACTGAATTAAAGAGCTAAGTTCTTTTTCTTCTTCTTGTGTGTGTATTGCTCTAGACAAAGCAATAGAAACAATATGCTCCATTTAATTACCAGTGTCAGTAAAGCAATAAGACTGCGGTCCATGTGGGCTCTTACCTGGCATGGCCATGTGTTTAGAATTTGGGTTCTGGGGAGTGGAGGCCATGGCCTGTACAGGTCCAGTGGTCTGATAGCCTGTCTTTGAGGTGCGAGAGATGGCCCCAAAGCGCGACACAGTGGGCAGGGTACCAAATGGAATAATGGGGTCATCATCCTTTACTTCTGTGCCCTTCCGAGGGGCCTCCAACGACGGTTCTCTCAGGCCTTTAGCATCCACATTCTGATAAAAGGAGAGAAAAGGATAAAGAGAGGAAAGGTTATTATTATATGAAAAACCCAAGAAATCAGCACAATGTTCGTTTGTCACTTGAGGCTTACCATCATCTCCACAGGAGGAGGAACCATAACATCTTTGGGTTTGGGATCTTTTGTGCCAATGTATGAGCCAATAGTTTCACAAGACCAGGGAGAGTATTGCCCCGTATAGTTGGCTAGTCTGCATTTTGGAATTGCTTTGGAGTTATCCTCGTCATACTGCAGACACAACACATGCAGTTATTAAAACTTACCCATATTCACAGTTAACTCAAGCTTTACTTCACCAACTACATTCAGGATTATTTTAGGCTTTTAAGCCTGAAATAAGAGGCTAAATATTACAATGGCTGACATAAACAGCAGATGTATATTAAATCTCCTGGGTACTAACATCAGGAGGGTAGTCGTTGGGGAAGGGATGTTGTGTAAGAGTGGGTGAAGCAGCAAAAGGTGGAGGCGAAATGACCTTCCTTTCCTCCAGCTGGGATAACAGCTCCTGCCGGCGTCGATGCAGATAGTCCAGGCTGGCTTGAGGACCACCACATGATGGCCCCTATGAGATGCACACACAAATAATGACTGCTGAACTGCTGACAGTTTTCTCTCCCCCCCCAATATCTACACCAAGAGAAATGAGCACAAAGCATATCTAAAAACATACTCACCCTCACATAGGACCTCATATTCATAGGTTGAGCACCTGGTGGATAGTAGCCATCTGCTGCATATCTATCCCGGCTACTGGGCTCTGGGTGGTAAACAGAGTTGGAATGCCCTGTTGATGGTGGGGGCACATCTAGAGGTGCTGGACTCATTCTGACCAAGCCTTCCCTTTGAGATGGGTAAGGCTGAGGGGGAGGTGGCGGACCACTGTAGGACATATGGCGACCTCTGTCATAGTGTGAAGGATGAGGGTAGGAGAATTGTTGACCAGAGTGAGGGGCCGGGTAGGTTCGTTCTGGAGGGCCATAACCAGGGTAAGGATCCGGGTAAGGGGGTCCTGACTCACTATGCGGAGGAGGGTTACGGATGTAATCTCTTGGAACATACTGTGGTGGCTGCTGGTAGGGGTAACCTGGAAAACAAAATGTCACAGTATTTAAAAAAAAAAATCTTCCAATTTACTTCTAAGTATAAATTAAAATAATAATAATAATAAAAATAATGCTACAATTTCAGTCATACGCATACATTATGCCTACCTGCAGAATATGGTTGGGGCTCATAGTGAGAGGCAGAAGGTGGTGGACGAGTGTCACCGTACATCTCAGCGAGCTGTTGCTGGGGGTACACTGGTGATCCTCTGGGAACCACTGACAGGTTATCTGCTGAAATCCTGGGGTGGGCTAGGGCATGAGGTGGCATAGTCATGCCATGTTTGGGCACAGTGTCCAGGCTACAAGAATAAACCCACATTGTTAAATATTTTTCCAACATCTGATGTATCTTGTGTTGTTCTGTTTAACAGAGCAAATAATTTCACTGAATAACCTCATTCTGTGACCTAGGGATAAGAAAACCCGTGGCTTTGATGAAGATGCTAACTCTCTGGCTTCTGCATACTATACTCACACATCAGGAGGTGATCCTGGGGCACTGGGACTCCCTCCGTCCATCTTAACAGATTTACGCGGCAGTTCATATGAGACTGGGTCGGTGCCACGAGCAATAAGCGTGGGCAAAGAGGATCCACCAGTCCCATTGGCCAAGGGTGAAGGCTTTCGGGTCACTGCTACATCGAGAGGATCATCTGACAAGAGTCCGCCTGAGCCAGGGAGGCGAGCTGCCAGACGCTTGTTCATCTTACGATACCTTAAAATAGGTAAATAAATAAGTAAATAGGTAGGTATTATAAAATATAATAAAAATTATGATATCATATTCTTTTTAGATATATAAAAAAAAAAACAACATACACATATATTTCTGAAAAATTGAGAGTGTATAAAAACCACTGTGGTAATAGTGACTGAATTGAGGAACAGAAACTAGCTTAACCCCCCCCCACACACACACACAAAAAAAAAAACCCTCTCTCTCTCGCACTCTCACACACACACACACACACACACACACACACAACGTTGACAAGTTGTTGTTAAGACTCACTTCTCTAGTTCTTCCTGAGAGTGTGCAAAGGTGCAGCTGGCTCCACGAGGACAGCCTCCCTTCTGCTTCATGTCACGACACATGTAAGTCTTGTATTTGCTGTGCTGAGGAGGCTTAAAAAAAGATTTTTTTGCATATGACCAAAAAGTAAAAACTCCATTTAAGAAAATTGCATCGAATAACAGATGCAAACAAATGTTATATCCAACAAGATGAAACGTTACAAAAATCATTTTTATTTATTCATATAGTTATTTATTTAAAAAATCTGTATTTACAATCCTGAAAAATTTGGGTTTGCTACAAATTACGGAAAATTCAAAAATCAAGTGTCATAACAATGTCTTGGACCACCATGACTGAATCTCCTACAAGCCTTTGAAACATTATTAGACGGTTTAAAAGCCTGGCTTTGTTTTTTCCAAGCATTATTTGCAGTTTAATAGAAACACTAACCTGTTGAGGATCGGCTCCTTTCTTGCTGTGGTTCTGGATAAAGTCCACCAGGCCATGTACCACTGTTTTCACTGCTACCAACCCCTTCTCAAGTTGCTCCCATGTAGGAGGAGGAGCATCTAGACAAACAATAAATAATACAGGAAAAAAGGATTAATACATTTTAAATTGGCTGTTCTCTATCAGCTGAGACAGATGTGTGCTTTGAGCCACATAGTAGAAGTCACACTACACAGGACAAATCCAACATACTGATGGGAGTATTTGGTTGTTAGCATAGTCTTTCAGCTTGAATTCAAGGTCAATTCAGGACAATTTATTACAACATTTGATTTTTTTTAACAGGGTTGCTCCGTTTTTACAGGCTCAACAGTAACTGGACAATTGCTTAATAACCAGCTTTATGACCAAGCTTTGCGATAGCCTGCAGTAGCTGATTCCAAGGGCTGAATATGCATTTGGTAACTGTTCAGTGGAGCTTTCCACAATAGAATAAAGTCTTATTATATACAAAAAGAGGCAACTTTCTGGCCGAATAGATAATACAGACCTATGAGAAAGACATAACCAGTGACAAACTTTACTATTGTGTTATTTGCTTCAAAAAAAGGAATGCATGGTGACCTCAGCGATACCAAAAGCCAAGTAGTTCAAAAAGGAATAAAATATACAATTGACTTCTTGGTGCAGAAAGCACATTCTCAATATAAAAGGAGGTATATCACTGTCAAAGTTTACTGTCAGGTTTTACCTAAATATGCAAAGAATTAATGACATTCGAGAAATGACAGAACAGTTCAGTGGCAAGATTCCCAGACATGAATGATGAAATCAATTCTACTAGAATTATGGGAAGAAAAAAATATGGGTAAGTAAAGGGAAGGGCAAATAACTTTGATCCATGTAGAAACATATCAGCCAAGACACACTGTGGCATGTTTTCAGTATTTTGCACTATGCTTATTTGTTGTCTGTTGAGAGTGTGCATGTGAGGATGGGTGACTTATGACTCCAGAATTAAGCTACTTATGTGTAATAAATAAATAAATAAATCACTCAAGTAACCCGGACTTTAACTTGATTCCTGAAAAAACAAAACTTGGCCAATAACAAAGATTTCTGAGAGAGGGTTGGGAAAACACAAGAGCCAGTTTGGATTTGCATCTGACACTGCATGTACCAACTTGTCCTCGCAATAGCGGGTGTGTTTCTCACCAGGACTGGGATCAATGTTGGCCAAAAGTTCCAGATGGGGCCGCAGCCTGTTGAGGTTGGCTGGGTCTCCAGTCCTTTGCAGCGCAATTGTCAGCTCCTGGACACTCTGAGCAAAAGATGCTGGGGTCTGCAGCTATACACATAACAAAAAATTAAATAAAAATAAATAGTTAATGCTTTGGTACTTCAGCTGTCATATGTAAGAACATGTTATGACCAACAGAGCTAATACCTTTTTTTTTTCTTTTTTTTTTAATGATTCTTTGAAATGTGTACAGTATGTGAAAACGACAAACTGAAATAGATTTACTTCCAGTACACACCTTATCTATAATAGACTGCATGTGTGACTTGTGAGACTGATCCCCATACAAAAGAGAAGACCACTGGTCAGGAGCAATCCGCAATCCACCCTCCATAGCAATCTGAACAATCTGAGAGTCGTGCTCCCGTCGCAGAGCCTCGTAAGTACGAAACTCCTCTTTCAGCTGCATTAGGGATGAATCTTCATCACGTTTGGTAACCTAGTAGAAAGCCACAAAATGAGCTAGTTACCTTTATTTTCTGAAAGAAATTCTTACATACATACAACAGAAAATTCTGCACAGAAAGGGTTGCACCTATATTTAGCAAAACAAATATTAAATAATATTTATAAAAAATATCAAAATAATAAAATAAATTTCTTCTGGTTTTCAGCCAGATTAATACCTTGAAACAGGAGGCCCTGTAGAGAAGCTGCACAACGTGGCCTATGCTAGTTTTGGAAGCCTGAGGGAACCGTGGCTCAAGCCTCTGGACTACAAATAGAACCAGCACCTTTCTTGACAAAGCAGAGCCATCCTCAAGAGCAAGGAGGACCAACTTTAGGGCTTCTTCCTGCATGGCTGAGAAAGGAAAAACAAACACAGAATCGATGAGTAACACTCAGTAGTCATCACATTCCAAATTAGTCTTTACTGAGAATAAATTGACTGTTTTCAGGGAAATTTCACTTTGTGGGTAAAGAAAAACTATCTACCTGGGCCGAGAAACTGGCATCCTCGTGCACGGACAGCAGCCCACAAGTTGGACGAGAGCTGCTGTGGATTCTGGTGCTGCAAGATGAGCTCAGTGACAGTTCGCTCGCCCAGAGAGCGAGCCGCTCTCATGGCTCTAACACGGCCTTCTTCTTCCACCAGCTGGCAGTGGACCAGAGTAACCAGTTTCCTCTGCATGGGTCGACTCAGCATGCTCTGAGCGGTGCTGCTCAGCCCTACACCTGGCAAGGAGAGGAAAAAAGAATGCAATAAAAGATGTACTGCTAAGATACTTTAGTTCAGTACCAGTATCAATGTTTAAATTATCAGACGCCAGCAGCCATTGTTGAAAAGGCAATGCTCTTTGATGTCACCAGAAAACAAGGTTTGGCTATCCTAACAGTCTGGACAAAGTATATTAATGTAACTATAAAGAAAAACTACATTAAAAACTCAGAAATTAGTTCATTCTTGTTTCATCCATCAAACATGCACCACTCTGCAGCAAAGATCAGAGTGACACACATTGACAAACTGGATGCATTTACATGCAACTTAAGTCAAATACTGTTAGTGGGAATGAAGAAATTTTTTTCTTCCTTTTTTCAAGAATTTTGATCCAATGTACATCCAAACAAGACGCTAAATGAACATTTCTGCTCCATCCCAAGAAATCAGGATGTCCCATCTGTTACCGTTGCACTGAGGCTCCTTAAATACATTTATGACTCAACAATCTTGAGGGCAGCATCATGCACAATATTCTGCACTGAAACAACTTGCAGATACAACTCATTATATTGATATTGAATATTTCAATAAGCAGTGCAAATACTGTAATTTGTTTTCAGACTTAATAGCTTATAATCTGTTTTGCTACTTAAACCTTGCACCTTAAATGCAATTCAGATATTTCCATATACATATATATTTAAAAAAAATAGTGATCTAGTATAGTAATATCGTACTCAAGAAACTACAGTAATACAACCATTACTAAATACATGTACAGAAATGTTGCTTGATTATTGCTTTTGTTTATCAAGCATAAAACTTGATAACACTTATTGTCCAAAGTGTTAACAAACCTCAATGCAATATGTTAACAGAACTAGAATTACTGCCGTAAAAGACAGGTAAGGTTTTGAAGGCATTTCAAAAGTAGGGACAAAACATTAGTATAGGTAATCTTGGTCCTGAGGTAATACTGTCTGCTCGTTCTTGGCATTGTGACTTTACAATTGCAATGTATTGCATTACATATAAATACAGAATACTAGGGGTGGGGGGGAAAATCGATACTGTGTAGTATCGTGATATTTTGTTTGCTAATAATGTATTGATACAGGGACAGCAGAAATCGATATTTTGTTACAAAAAAAGTTTTTGTGGACTGGAACATGCCCTGACTTCAGAGCATGTTGATCAGCTTTTTTTTCTGAGCAAGAATCCTGACATTCCTTCACTGTCCAAATGTGTTTAACTTTTTTGGCAGCAATAAACATGTCAGTTTACTTATTTTAATTTAAGACATGTTTTATTTTAATTAAGTTTAAAACTTTTTTATTTAATGTAAAATTATATTTTGTTTTAATTTACTTTCAAATTCTTCAGTTGCTGAATGGGCTGCATAGTTTTCATAAATTGCATAGTTCAGAATAGCTATAATTGTACCAGATGGTTGCATTCAGTTAAGTTGGACTAGACTGTAATACAAACCGTTCAGTTTGTCAACAATAAAACTGACTGAAATGAGAGAAAGACTGTGTGAGAGACTTTGATATTAGATAAAATGAATATTGATAAAGTTAACCTTTATGTACAGAATCTGAATATCGCAAAATATTTTTAAAAATTGCAATAATATTGTATCGTGCGTTAAGTATTGTGATAATATCGTATCGTGGGATGTATGGTGATTCCCACCTCTACAGAATACTATACAATATTAAAATGTATTACACTTTTGAATGAAAAATCAAGAGGTATACAAATGACACTTGCACTAAATCAGTTATGATACACAGTAGGACTGTATTTAGCTGTTTTTATATATAGGGTGACTTCGACAATCTAGTTATGTCTTATTAAGAGCATTCTCACTCAAAGACACCTCCAGCTTCATGAGCTATGATATATGCTGGTGCTGTTCAAACTGTCAGTGCCTATATAGTTTTTGTTTGCCAGACGGTTTTTGGTATCCAGCATGAGATTAACACAAAGAAAGCAAACACTCTTATGCCATTTTTTGAAAGGGAAGTCTACACCCATTAACAGTTACCTCCCAATCTATCCACCCTCTGAGAACAAGAAAATTGTTAAGTGGTCTTTCATACCGAAAATCAACCTCCATATTTGAAAGGTCCCAGGTCTGTCCACTTAAACAAAAGAAAGAGCAAACCACAGAGCTAAATAGTTCCAGCAAGGTCCAGTACCTCGGGTGTTGCTGAGGGGTTTAAGGTAGAGGGCCAGCTCCTCCACACACTGCCTGGCCTCCTCATAATGTTGTGAGTCCTCTGGACTTGTTATCAAAGCAACTGGCTGAGCCTTGGGAACCTGAAGCAGAATGCAAGGGAGGAATTTAGAAAATCAGTAGCAACAGATGAATAGGTTTCAGTACAATTTTGTCCCAACAAAGCTGTAGCAGAGTTAGTGGAACCGCCATCACCATCACTTTCATTTTACTGTGTAATGTAGCAGCTAAAAAGCTCAACAAAGCTGAATGCACAAATTAATTGTAAATGCCTCTTTATGTGTATTGGAAGACAAAGTGAACTATGTATTCTTACTGATAATGTGCATAATGAAATACATTAAACTAGCCTGAATTTCCAACATCTAATAAGTATCAAAAGCAAACATTACTTACTGAAACAAATCATAACTTTGGAAAAATAAATGACAGTGAGCTGTCAAGCATATTTAAAAAATTAATTAATTAATTAAAAAAATTGATGTGTATGTTGGTGGCTTAAGTACCGGTAGTCATTTTTTGCAACATTTTTGTGTATGGTTATTCTTACGGTAAGAAACAATTTGAACTGAGGGCCAATTTAACGCGTTACAACTCATTTTGTACAACAATTAAAATAATCCCTACTTAAAATATATTACATTTAATTTCAAATTATGTGGATTCTCACTAATCACTGGTATTAGAATGTTTAAGTAATCAGCTGAAGATTGTCAAAGACCACCAGACCAGGCATTTTCATTTGTCCACAGAGTTTCACTTAACTATATACTAACAGCATGTATTGAAATATTAATATGCTGAGATGCTCTCGTTAATGTTAGCAAAATCTGTTGCTGCAATCTTCCACAAGCAAAGCTCACAAAGGCTAACGTCAGCACATTAAGGCCAATTCTGAGAAAGGTCATAACAAAGCTGAGTGCTACTTAATAATGTCTGCCACCATTATTATCACTCAGTCTGCCCAAATACATGTGTGTGTGTGGAGCACACCACGTGTGGTAGGGTTAGTTATATTTTTCCACCAAGCAAATTTAACATTACATATACACACACTATATATATATATATATATATATACATATATATATACACATATATATATACATATATATATACATATATATATATAGGGAACGTTTAAGGAAGCCCTACCTATTGGCACAAATGTGCAATACAACCAAGATGTGTTTAAGGGACAAGCTATACCAGTCATGATGACTAGAGAAGACACATCTCAGCATTACAAGTGATGCAGTGACGTTATCCATTATTGCAGTCTTAACTTAGAAACCTGGCCAACAAAGCCAGACACCATTAGCTGTGCCTCACCCTGTTGGTATAACACTCCCTCTGAGAAATACAGCTTTAGTGAATGCGCTAGCACTCAGTAAAGCAGCATAATTCAAGTCATTGCTCAATGACTGCAGGGTGACTCAGAAAGAAATCCCAAAAGTATGTACACCATGTGTGACACGAATACAATCCAAAGTAATTACAGAAAACGTCATCCTTTAAAACCAGGATTGGTGTCTAAAAATGTTTCACTACTGAAAAAACAAACAAACAAAAAAAACAAAAACATACCCATGAGCTAGTATTCTTAACCACAAGATAGCGTCAACAAAATCTCAGCACAGACGGTATAAAGTCATATCTCTGTACATTTGTTTAGCAATTTATGACAAACACACAAAAACAAACTTCTTACCTGGCCTCCCACCAGCTGCAACAAAGCTGTGTTGACAGGTAACTGCTCGATGTCTGTGCTGATGGCTGTCTGGTCAAAGGGACAGGCCTTTCGGTGCAACTTGTTCAGGCACATCTTGCAGACTGTATGTCCACAGCCTAAGCTGATGGGCCTGCGAACAGTTTCCTCAAATGTCTGTGTGCAGATCGGGCACAGCAGGAACTCTGTCCATTGTGGTGCTTGCACTGGCATGGTTATATGTTGATGGGATGGGTGTGTATAAATGTATGTGAGCTTAAACACAGCGGAAAATATATAATAATTTTATATATATATAATGAAAGATTCCACTGGAATCAATTTTTTTTCTTCCGAACTCAATCGTTCTTAAATGTCCTCACACATTGTGGATTGTGGATCACATCTCGTGATGAATACTGTAAAGCAGAAAGAGAAACGGAATTATAGTTGTTCCCGCATTCATAAACTCTCGTTGTTGTTGTTGTTTTTTTTTTATAAAACGTGTCATAATGTTATTAGTTTTTCATCAAAACATTGTAGAAGTACACTATAAAACATGGCTACACTGTGCATGAGTGCATTTGCAGCTGAGAAATGCATTCTAGGCAGTGTGGTTATAAAGCAGGTTTCCCGTGGAACAACTAACCGCACTGAAAATATGCCTCTTCCTGTCAATTACGTTGTTCAAGCCCAACAAAACAATGTAACGGCAAATCAGAGGTGACACAACACATATTTGTAAAGTCCGAATGAAACAAATGGTTGAGATGGACCAAAACAACTGCGGCGTGGCCTAGTAAAAAAAAAAAAAAAAAAAAAAAAAAAGAGCTGGTTATCGCTATGACTATGGACAAAGGGTATAGGATAGGCTAACCACACAAGTCCCTCTGACTTGATATAAAGCTAGAGTCTGGGGATAGCGCTCGATAATATTGTACCAACAATGCGCTGTTGCCCAGTTTGTTATCCTTGCTGTGACCATCTCGATGTTTCGTTATGCACCCACTAATCTTACGAGTGATACGAGACGCTTTTATAGCTAGCTAACTCTAGGTAACGTTAGCTTAGTTTTAGCATCGGAAGCTATGGGTGGCTAGTTTCCTAGCTTAGCTATGGGTAAACGTCGTTTGATCAGCAAACAGTTACTTAACGACCTGAAACCTATCGCTAACCGACTGTCACACAGTTATTGCTCTGAATATAGTCACAGTTGTTCATACGTTACAGTTTTAATGATATTAATTATCCTTCGAGGAGGCGCTGTTCAAGGAAACGAGATCTAAGAGACAACAAGTCAGATTATGTAACGCTAGCGCCCATAACTTCAAAGCAACAAAACTGTCCCAAAATGTCTTTATATTCACCAGACACAGTGACAACAACTCAATACCATAAAGTTCTTAAGAACTGACCGGGTTTGTGCTTTACTCTTGTTTTGAGGGGCACATAACTCAACGGCTCTTGTCGTCGGAATGAGCACAGAGGGCTAACATGCTAATGAACAAATGTTACTCTCTCCACTCTCTTAGCTCCTTAGCTAGCTCGCTAACAATCTCTATGCGTCACTAATGTGCCTAAAACTAAACATGCAACTACTACTTTGGGTTTTTCACCGAGCAGATAAATTGTTATTGTCGATGCTACTCACTTATTCCAAAAGACTTGGAAGTTTTTCATCTTTTTTAAGGAAATTGCTGCGATATTTTCTTGCCATGTCGACTGTGCAGCTTAACTGCTGCCAAGGTAAGGGAGAGGGTGTCAACTCGACAACAGACTGGCTAGCCGGTTACAGCTAGCTGGAAAAGATGTGTGCGTGCACGCGCGTTTTTTTCTTTTTTGCGTGTGCGCGTTTGGATTGTGGGCAAATGGCGCCCTCTGTTGAAATTGAGCCGCACACACAAAATACCAAAACTGGGCAGGTGCTGAGAAGATCACATCTGGGAACATTTTCACAGTTAAACTGTTCAGTTTGCACGGGTGCATATATGTTAAAATTTTTGTGTATCTGTATTAGACAAACGAAGAGAAGGGGGGAGCTCGGATAGATTAAGATGGAGGGAGGGAGCTGTATTGACAAATAAGAATCAGCTGACTTTTGTTTTTCGAGACAAAATTAGACCCGTGCTCCCTAAAACGCAGCAGAGCCTACCCCACTTCCTTGCAATCAGAGCCACCGAAATAAAGAGTGAAAAGTGTCTGGGATATCTCATTTGGGCGAGAGGTCACCAAGCCATTTTACTAGAAATGTTTTCTCTTTTTCATTGGTTTATTCTTTTTTTTTTTCTTTTTTTTTTACAGCGGGGAGGGAATCGGTGTGTGTGCACTTGCGCAACACAGAGCTCTACTCGAGCTCCACTCATGAGGCAAGAGCGAAATTAAAGCAGGCATTTTTTTTATTCCATTTTTGTTTAATCCCACTGATTTCTGAGGGGATTATCAGACCAGGCACGATTGAGAGACCGCTGACGCGCCTGACACCGCTCTAGAGCGACAGAGAAAGAGGGAGAGTGAAAACATAACCTCAAAATCTGGAGAAACGTTTGGAAATCTTGTTATTATCATTGTTATTTCATCCACGGGGACGTCGCTCGTCTCGCCTGTTGGTGAAGCGAGGATGCGCGCTGCAATAACTGCACGCTTGGCGCAGCTTTTTATTATGGAGGGCAACTTTAATTTGTGCGGTTGCCCAAGAATTTATGGCAACTTTCTCGTGACCATCGACGCTGGGATTGCATGTCAAAGTACGCCGTGTTCAGCAAAAGTGCAGGTACATTAAAAATGTTTGTTAGCCTTCTAATAGCGAAACCAGCCTGTCTCTTAATGTGATGAGAAGCTACTTTGTTAATAATAATAATGAGTTAAAATTGCTTTTATGGAGGCGGTTTACATAATTACCAACAGTAGCCTGTAGAAAACTGCTGTTGTGCGTATTTCTTATGGGTAAATAATGAATTTTAAATACTTTAGCTGATTTTTCCTCCAGTTTTTCTATTAATGAATGGCAAACAGGGAAAAACATGGTTGATTATTTCTGATATATACAACCAAACATAAACATATAATACTGCTTATTCCCTGTAGGGTCTCAGTTGCAGGCAGCAGTTGCTTATTCTGATTCCAAAGGATTATCCTGTGCCCTGCAAAGTAATCACTGGATAAGGCAACGTGACAGAGTCCACATTACATATCTCCTTACCCGGCACACAGGAAAAAAGTATCTGGTAATAGAGATGTAGAATACCCTGAATAGGAAAGGTTTTTATCTTTCTTGTTCTTTATTTTCAGAATCTCTTTGGAATTTCTTGTGCATGACTAGCCAATGGAGGAAGAGAAAGCTGCTGATACTATCCAATCAAAATCCGGTTCCCCTTTGCCCACTGGGCTTCCCATAAACTGGGGACTCATTACGGGTCCTGTTCCTGAGCCTATTTTCCCAGCACCCACCACCACTTTGAATGCTTCTCTTCCTCCCCCTGCTCAAAGTTCAGCTGTCCACGCCCTGCAGACCAAGGTGAAGTCGATCACGCAGAGAAGAACAAGGGGAAGAGACAGGGAGAAAGACAGAGGAAGATTTGACACGGAGGTGTTGGTGAGCAACCCAGTGGGGCACATTTCATCTGAAGTCCTCCTTAGACAGAGACCCAAAGTGAAAGGCCAGCTGTTTCTGCCTGCTCCCTCCTGGCGATCAGGTGGTGCAAAGGACTTAAGCAGCAGTGATGAAGAGGAGGAGGTAGAGGTACAAGTCAGGCTGGAGATCCACAGTCCTCCCGCTGAAGCACAAATTGTACAGCAGGGGGAGGAAGTGGAAGAGGAGCAGTCAGAAAAGAATGATGGACAGGTCAGTCATCCAACGGGTCAGCCTTGTGGGCTTGGAGAGGGCACCAGTCTGGAGAGTCTTCCGTCTGACAACCCAAGCACTAGCAAGGATGGCCCATCCCCTTCCCCATCTCCTCTTCCACCACCACCTGTGCTCTCCTCCAACATCTCTGCTTCTACAGCATCGTCCTTTACTTCCTCCACTTCTTCTCCTTCAGCAAGACACTGGGCCCCTCCAAAGGGCTTCTGGAGAGTAGCACGCCCAGAAACGTTGCTTCTCAATGGGGTTGACCCTCACAATACACCCCCCACATTACCACTAAAGGACTACACTCGGACAGAGGCAGTAGCAGAGCCTCAGAGAAAGCCTAAACTGGCTGAAGCAGGCAACAAGAATGATGTGGGAGGTCTGGAGAATGACTATGATGTGTCTTCTGAAATCCAAAACTCTGATAGTGTGGAGTGGTACCTGGACAAGTATGAGCAGAGGGAGACAGATGTGACTGATCCCAATAAAGGACTGTGCAGTTCAGACAGCTCGGAGAGCATGTCTTCACAAAGTGGAATCCTTTGCGCTGATGATAAACTGAGGGTGAAGGAGAGGGCCTATGCAAAGTTAAGGGAAAGACAACAACACTACAGGGAAGTGAGAGAACTGCAAGAAGGAGAAATCACTGGCTATTATGAAGAAACGACGTACAGAGTGGATTATAACGGTAGGTCTATTAAGGAAAATAATAGAGAAAGCGAAAAAGTAATGCATGGAGCCATCTGAGAAAGGGTTTAGTAATGCTTTACTGATAAATAAGCTGTAGAGTGTTTTGAAACTCCTGGCCATGGCATGAAATACATAACTTTACTTTTGCAGTATTATTATGCTATACAATAATAGCATTTTTAGTAGCGTGCCTTTATTTTAAAAAAAGACAACAAAACACATGCTGCCATATTTATGACAACAATACTTGATATAGTTTCAATAAAAGGCTGTGACTTAGTCATATTTTTTTCTCTATTACTTTAGCTTCCTCATGAAGTGTAGTCAAATGTTATGAGCTGGATCAGCTCCTGTGGCGTGTTAGCATTTTGGATGAGGACAGAAAATGTTAAATTTTGCATTTGATTTTTTTCCCCTAACAACCTTCTAAAGCTGGAAAATTGTCAATAATTTATGCACATTGTCTGCTTAGAATGATTTCCATCTGTTGCAGCCATTTAAAGTGCCCCATTCAGCTGTAGTCTGCCTACCTACAATGTTGTATTGAAACGCAGAATGTAACCTGGCTGGTTCCCAGTGCTGAACAGATGTCAGATGTGCAGATGTGCATACGGGTGTTACTATTAATAGAGCAGTGGGGGAAGTGTCCCTGTCTTTTTTATCTCTGCCGGCGCGCTAATGGATGTCTTTGTATGTCTGTAGGATGACAGATGATATTTTTTCCCATGCAATGATCATGTGGTATTGCACAGATCTCAGTTTCAATGCCCAGTACGGGAGATGCAGGTGCAAGTCCGTGATGATGAGATGATTTTGCCCTCTTGTCTCTGGGAAATCTGCTTTTATCCTTCAGCAGTTACATAATCTGTGTATGTGTGTGTGTGTATGTGTGCGTGTGTGTGTTTTGTTTTGTTTTGGGGGTTTTTTTGTCCGAGATTAAAGATGAGTTAGGGATGACCTCCGAGACTGCCACTGAGTGTAATCTGAACCTAATGTTATAAGGTTTATGAAAATCCTTTTGATCATAGCAAGTCCCAATTTCTTTGATACCCAAATGTCCTTGTTGGTCACGTCATGGCTGACTGCTCTCTCTGCAGTTGTGTTTGCCGCAAGGCAAGTCCTAAAAAAATGGAACATTAAACAATAATTTAATGCGCTGTAGCACATTATGTCTGGGTGAAGGAAGAGACAAAGACAAGAAATCCTTCTTTCATCTGGAAGAAATTTTGACTGCACTTTTATATATGCTCATATCTTTTTCCTTTTTTATACCAGTTGCAGGTGCCCATCCTGTTTTGGACGCCTCAGACTCAGCCATTCTGGCCCAGGAACTTGAACCCTATTTAAGGTGAGCAATGTAGTTCCTGGCAAGGGTAGTGACAGATAATCTCTTTGGACTATTTATATCCTCTCCTCATAAATTTCACTTTTACAGCTGCACTTGAGAAAATCTACCCAATGAGGCAACTATGCGTGGTGCACAATCCAAACAAACACTTTGATAATCAGGTTTAATCACAGGGAAGAGATGATGTCGAGTATTGTCAAAAGCAGTGCACTGGCGATACTGAGCGAGTATCAAATATGTGTAATGTTTGATACTCGCTCAACACTTGTCGACCTAGCACACTGTTATCTTTTTTCACCAGTTGCACAATTTTGGAAGCCATCCTTTTAGTAAAGGTTGTTATTTTGAACATGGTTATAAACTGTAGAATAAAGAGCTGCACATGATATTTAAAGACAGGATCCAACTTTGTTGATTTCTTTTTTCTGGTGTTTGAATAATGTGGTGACACAACAAACTGTAATCTGGTGAAAGACAATATGTTCTCATCTTGTCACACAGGAGAGAATGAATCACACTTACAAAGATTACAAAGATAATCCACGTGGCTGGTGTATCATGCTATCTTTATCACTGGGCCAGGGGATAAAGAGAAGTACAGACGATGAAGCACAATGCAGAGCAGCTTAGCTGCTGGGCATAAAGATGGATGGATGAATGGATAAATGGATGGATGACATTCCCCTTTGCTGCTGACCACTAGAGCCACGCCCCAGTCTTTTTATCTGATATTACATAAAACAGCTTAGGAAGACGCAGCTTGCTGGGCTCCATGTTAAGTCAATCTTTGGGGAAATATGATGTCTCTGGATATGTGTCAGCACAGAATAAGCTTTGAAAATTTGAACACTTTATCAAAAATCCAGCATTCTCAGACAGATGCTGGCAGATTGTCTCATTAGCGAGTTAAACTCTATCCATTTCCCT